AAATCTTAATCACTTCAGGAAAGCTCTGAAGTATTATAACAGAAATGCATATCTAGAATGATCCATAATTACAGAAAAAAATAAAGCTACTTTTTATCATCAATTATGGACCAAAACACTACTGAGATGGATGTAATGGTGCTATCTCCATTGTTATCATCTCAGGACCTGGTCCAAAGTATTAGAAACAGATCAGAATCAGACTGATCAGGTATTCATTCTGAAGATAGTCTCTGTTAGATATCCCTCAGAATCTGGTACAACAGAGTTTGAATATTGCATTAGGGTTTTTGGTCACAGCAGTAAAAATATTTATAAAAATAATGGCTAATATAACCACCACCAAATGAAAAATTAGATAGAAATGGTTAGAATCTATTTTAAAAATATAGGGATTATTCAAAAGCTACATTTTCTTTTACCCACCAGCATTATTTCACTTCTTTTATTTTCTCCAGTCAAATTCAGATCTCCTTCATGTTTTCATGACATGAACATTCAAGTCATTATGAAAATTTCTTTACTGTTTGCATAAAGGCAGTGTTCAAATCACATGGATGAATAAGAAGAAATAAGTACAAATTACCCAGTAAGAAGAATATGCAAGTTAGAAGAATTCTGGAGTCACTCTATGAGAAAACTGTTTTCAAAAACACTACAATTTATTGATCTCATCACAATTTTATAACTTGTATTCATAAGAAATACTTAAAACATATGTGAAAAATATATTCTTCAAAACATTATTTGAGTACAGAGAGATCTACTTTTGGTGTATTCTGCTCAGAAAAATATACAGAATGTGAATGCTTATGTGGTGTATGAGTTAAGTCCAAATGGCTTAGACCAGTAAGAGGAAAATTTGATAATGGGACATAAAGAAACCCTTTCAAATATGAGGATTTATATCTTTTTCTACATTATAATTTGTAATATAGCTGCTGCTGTTTTCATTTATCCATGCAATGACCTCAACCTCAAACAACAAAGAAGCAAACACCCAAATCCCCGCTATTAAGCCTTTGGTTTCAATCATACCCCATAATCATAAATTCGACAGATTACTGTATTATTTGTGTCAAATGCATATGATTTTATCAAATGTGTATGATCTTATCAGTTCATGACCTGGTTGCCCTTGAATTGTTTTGCTGCCTTGCTGCTCTCTTGTTATTGAGAACGGCAAACGAAAGTGCCCAGCTTACCTTCTCTGTTTTCATGCAGTCTCCTGTTTACTTCATGTCCCTATCACAGCTTGTCTAAATTAATTAGTACTTAGCTTTTGATATGACATAGAAATATTTTCAGTATTTTTTGCCATTATGCTATGTATTTCTGTGGAATGAATAGACTGGCTACAGCAACATAGCAAAATGTTTTGTGTAAGGGATTTGTAATAACTTTTTTAGTGTATTTTCAATTACTTTCTTTCTACAACCTAGTATTTTATTTCCTTCTTGCTGGCCTTATACATTGGGGGACACTTTTCAGGGAATTACTCCATGGTCTTTTTTCTCAAGAAGAGTTCAAATTCCTCATGATAATATACATCACCTTCCTCATTTATCTTTTCTAAGGTTCTGCACTGAACATACCCATTGGAACACAGCACAGGAATCGCCAAGCAGATGCAAACTTGAGCAGATACGCTCATATGGCACAGTGGAAGCTCCACATAGAGCTACCAGTTGTCATTTGTAGCTACTGCGCTAACGGCACAGCTTACGTGAGTAAGTTTGCTCAGCTGTTCTGCCATGCTGATGCTGCTCTGCAGCTTTCAAGTCCAGAGCGAGCTAGGTCAGAAGTAGGCTGGATTTTCTGGACCATGCTTCACTGCATAACATGGGCATACGTAGTCTATTAGAGACTTGATTGACCTGAACTATTTTATGTCACCTGCAAGTACCACCCCCTTTTTCTCATTTCCATTTCTAGATATTTTTTTTAACTCCATGGATCTCTGCATAGACACTCTAGGGAACTCTGCTTCTGCTAAAATGTTCCATTTATCCTTAAGATTTTTTTTCTCTTAGGCACAGAGAGTCTGGTAAACGCTTTGCCCTGTGACAACACTTGCTTACTTTAGCAGCTTCTTCAACTATACAGAAGCTATGCTAAAGGGTTTTTTTGACAATTCAAATATAGAATATTGATTAATTCTCACTCACTCTATCAAAATTCTAATAGATTGACAATCTTTCTATGCAGTTTTCCTGGACAGATGCCAGCTATCTTGTTCCTAAAACCACTGAATTACAATTTTATGTCCTGTGCTCGTCTCTCATTTACAAGATTTTCAAGTACATTTTAAAAGGACAACGTCTGACATTCTTTGGTTACTAGCTTTCGTTAGAAACTGAAAATTAAAGAAATACATAATCCACTGACTTCCTCCTATTTGTTTTAGTCAATTTTTCACCAACATCCTCTCCCATGACTCAGTCTTGCACATCTATTTGAAACGGTTACCTGGGACGGGTGGCTTCCTAAATACACCTGTCTTTCGTTCTCTGTCCCTCCTCTGGTAAATACAAATGCAAAGAAATAGTTTAGAATATCTGCAACACCCTTGTCCTCACTAACTGCAGCTCAAGAGACCCGCCACTCCTCTCCTAGCCTACTACACTTGACATCTTAAAAACTGTCTATATTTATTTTCATGCCTTCAGCTATTTGCTCTCAGAAGTCTCTCTTACCTCTACTAATTATTATCATAAAGTTTACCTGCTAGAACTTATCCTCTTTTCTGATCATTTTGCTTAAAAATGTTTTTTTGAGAGACCTTTTCAGTTCAAATAGTTTTTGTATTCTGCAATATATTTTTTCTTCTTGGCTACTGATTTTTCATATGGTTGTTTTCATACATGCTGCAACATTTTACACAGTATTTTTGCTGAATATGAGGGTTCTATTTCACACACTTGAATCACTCCTTTTAAAAAAAACCATTCTACTGACAAACTGATTTTGATGTGATCTTTGTTAAGCAGTTGACTTTAATTTTCTTACAACTGCAATTACCCAATGGCTCAACTAAAGTTCCTTCCTGAATCAACTTCCTCTTATGCATTCCTCTTGCTTTACTCATTTAATGCATTATTAATAATGAATTATTTACTCATTGCTACAGCTATTGTGCTCACTTTCTTTTCTTTGCTACTGTTATTTGCTACACAATTATAATCTAAAATTTTACTAAAGAAAATACTAAATCAGGGAAAATAAACCAGAGAAATACTACTTGCTTTCTGATAGAAGTTTTAGCTTTCAGGTTCAAGGAAAAAAAAGCAAAACTAATCCTGGATTCTCAAGCGTGGATTACATAATACCACTCATATTGTTTACTTCTAACATTTTACCTCCATTTTTTTATGTCATACCAGAAAAGTGTAAAATAAAGACCAATGTCTATATGTAAACACATTGTTCAATGATACTTATGTTAGCTGAGTAAAATTTTAAGTCCCTGAACTATCAATAAAATAAATATTTCATAGTTATTTGAAATAAAACTCCCAGTACAAAAGAGAATAGAACTACCACTGTGGTGCCACCAGATATAATCATCACTGTAATGCACATACTGCATCAGAACTCTGGAGACCATCAGTGCTACAAAACTCAAATTTTTAACTGAAGTGGTAGAGATGAAATTAATACTGCTAGATTAAGGTTTAGTACTAAAGAATGTTTCTTAGAGGTAAATGATGGAAGACCAGTTAGGGAAAGACAGTCATAAGACTTTAGGGCACAGCTAAGTGAAATTTCACATTGGTCTTTGGAGTATGACCAGATGATTGACACCTGACATTTTAGCCTACACAAAATAAGCTGATTGTCTCAGGACAGGTTTTTTGGGAATGGCTTTCACATATCAGAATTGGTATTCAAATTTAGAAGCTTTCAGTAAAGCAAATCTAAAGAGTGAAGTCATAAAAAGACCTCTCTGAAGGACTGAAATACCTGGACAGCTAATTACAAAGGGAGAACTGAGCTGTCTGTGCTGAGAATGATCTGCAACAAAGATCTTCACACGTGAAGGACAGCCAGGACTGCACGTGCACCACCTTTCTGAACAACTAAATGCTTTACAAAAATAAATAAATTAATACCATTCAGTGACATTGGTTTTTTACCCGATCTGTTGTCCTAAAAGATTTTTGTTGCTTTAAAAAAGGTTAGTATTGCCATGTTAATGTCTTTGGCTTATCTGGATGAGATAAACATCATAAACTCTTGAAGTCAAGGAGATTACAGTCTCTAATAAAATACAGAAGGCTGCTAAACAGAGTGAAAAGACATGTTAGATCAAAGTATTACTCAAGGGTACTACAACTGGCTCAGGCTCCAGAAGGAATTATGAAGGTCTTTTTGAGATCTATCACACTCTTTCATGCCACCCAACCATAGTCAAGAGGTGACTAAATAAAAAACCAAGATTTTGGAAGATGGCAGAAGGCACGGAGAAGCACTGACAAAAGTCAATACTGTGTAGGCTGAAAGATGATCAGACTGAAAAGTTTTGTTTTCTTCCTTCCAAACCCTTAATGTTAACTGCGTAAATAGTTACTTCAAAATGATACCCATACTGTTTATTCACAAGATACTGCTCAATCATAAAAAGAAGCTCCTAGGACAGTTCTCTCAATTTTAGTCTTAAAAAATGTTAGTCTGTCAATGTCAAGGATTAAACTATCTGTTTAAGAAAACATTGAAAATAAACCAGCATCAGAAAATAAAATTGAGCAACTCCCCCACTACTATCAGCTGACACTTTCGGTGTTGACAATCGTGCCACATTAAAAACAATCAAAGTTTTGCCTTTTTTAAAAAAGTATTAAATAATGCTTTCTTCAGCGGTGCCTGAATCCAAGAGAAATAATTTTTCCCCACTGTTCCCAGAATTGTGTCTGTATTATTCCTACTGTGAATAGCAGAAAGAGCTAATTTTTATTCCCGCAAAGGGAACAGTTTCATACAGCTTTTTGAATAGTACTTACTCAAATATGGTGGTTTGTAAGGCGCTCGTGTATTAGACAGCAGTCCGTCCAACTCCTTCCTCTCCAGAGTGTTGTGAAGGGCCTTCTCTTTGCCGAAGGTGGAGAAGGACCTTTCTGCCCCCGGCTGGGCTTCTGGTGTTTCAAACACTTCAGTGTCTGGAACGGAGTCCATGCCAGGTACGTGCAGATTGCTGCGGTAATCTGCAGCTTGGCGTCCATCAGATGGAACAAAGGAAGGCATCCAGCACCGATCTGAATGGCCCAGTGCTTTACATTCCTCCGTGCAATTGGAGAAGAGATCCATGCCTGCAAGTATGAGAGAAAAAGAAACTACAGATATAAGCTTCAGCATCATGAACAGCTGCTCACAGATAAAAAAGATTATGCCAAGAAAAGAGAGAAGTGGAAAGAGAAATGTCATAAGAAATTCTTCTACTACTTCCATCTCCTCAACAGAAAATAAATAAAAATCTGATTGACCAGTCTTCAGAAGTCAAAGACAACATTTAATAAGCGTTAACTAAATGCCAGAATGTCACACACAGAGACAAAAATAGCACAAGGAGAAGGGTATTGGTGGTTCTATCTCACACAATCACTTGCAGATCTCACTGTTTAGAACCCATTCAAATAAGGTTCAATTCCACTTGTAGGCTGATGTCTGTGGTTCACCAGTTGAAAACACTTGTTTAAGAGCATGAAGGAATTGTTTCCAAATAAATGTATCTCTGACCAAAAAAAGTAAATGTCCTGACTGAGGAATCACAGATTTCATTTATGAAAATGAAATATTAATGAGTCCTATAGAGGAACTATCTGTGCATACATTAGTATACAGATAGAGCCTATTGATATTAAAAGCAGATCTTAAAAAGTAGGAAACCAGCTTTCAAGTGATCAGGATGCTTATTTAATCAATTGTTACATCATTCTTTCAGGGAGTTTTCATTGCTATAGCAGCAGTCCTCCAAGTAATGGAACAGAATCCTATAATAAATTACTGTAATTAGCGGTATAAAGGTAGCCATAGTCCAATGTGACATGGCTGTGGATACTATTGACAAAATTCTTAATGCTTCCCCTATATAAGCAAACACTTGTCCCTGCCAACACGAAACTGTTTGCTTACAAATCCTTTAATGCTATTAAGATTTCAAATGACAAGCTATGCTTCTATCGACTACCTTCAGATCAGCTTTCCAAAAGAATATTTCCTGTCTGTGAGTCACTAAATTGTTGGATTATTCTTGTTTTGAGAGGAATGGTGTATGAAATCATAGGCATAGAGGAAAATAAATACCAGCGTCTCCAAGTTGATGTTCAACATTATACAGAAAAGCAGAACAATAAAGAAGTATCTTTTTCTTGTATTTATAAAGAGAACTTAGTGTCTGAGAATAGGTTATGTCAAAACTGAACTAAATCTGTTATAAACATTGCATTTACAAGCACTGCATTAGAATTACAAAAAATGACACTACTTGCAAGAGAAATAGGGAAAAAATTTGAACAGCTGTAATAAGATTCATGTAATGTAGCTCATTCACCAGCCAACATTGTAAAGAACTGGATTAGCTTGATCTCCAATATGAGGATTAGTATTAAGAATTCTACCACTGTTTTGAACCATAATTTGACCTATATTAGTAGCATTTATGAGATATCTCACCCTACAGAAAACAATCTCTTCAGCAAGCAAGAATCTTTCTGAGCTATCAACAGGTGCTTGAGTGCTAAAGGCTGTCGCTTAGACATAAAAAAAAATGAAGAAAGAAACAAAGCTCTTTATCTCTGATTAATCTCACTTTATAATGACTTTTAAATTTTAAATTATGTAATATCCAATGCTAGGTCCAGTTTTGATTAGAACCTTGCATTGATAATCAGAATGCAGAAATCTGAAAATAAATTAATGATCAGTGGACTGTTGAAGAATGAAAACATGAACTGCAAATATGATTAAGGATCAGATGAAGATCATCAGGCAAGGTGTACAAATTGCATAGTTCTAAATTCCATAGTGGTAGTATCTATCAAAGACTGAAAAGGAAGATGTCGATGCAGGCTTCCCAGAAAGAATACATAACAATGTCCATAAAATGGTATGTGTGTGTATTTTATGAATTGAAATGTCTGCACAAAAATATCTCTTATGCAAGAAAAGACATATTTTATGAATCTAACTTTTTGCCATTCGGAAGATTTAAGTGATAATTAACACAAAATGGTTACTTTAATTTTCAGATTTCCTACAAAGTTACGTGTGAACCACAAATAACCCTACTTTTAATAGGAAAACGATTATAGTTACATTTTGCTAACAGTGTATCAGTGACCATATTCATTCAACACTTTCTGAAAGACATCAGGAGAAAGAAAAATTTATGGATAAATATTAAATTGTATTCTTTAGTCAGTGGGGAAGGAGATATTATAATAATATTGGTTTTAAGATATATATTCAAAGATAGACTCTTTTTTTCCCCTTCATGGATTATTTCCTCTGGAAAAATTACCCTCCATTTTACTATTTTGTTTTCACATCAGCTGCTAAACTGCAAAATGTCTCTACCCAAATATAATTTTTTAAGTTCCCTTTTGAATACTGCTTGTCTACTGCAGTGCATTGAATAGTATTATATAAGAGCTTATTATAAAAGAGATGTTATAGACACTATAAATCAGGATTTTGTATAAACAAAGTAATGAATGTAGGGGATATAAAATGTAAGCTTGTATGACAAACTTTTCCCCCCTTGAAGATGAGAACTTGTAAAAGAAAAAAAAAACACAAAAAAACAAAACAAAACAAAAATCACACAAAAAACCAAAACCAAAACCCATATACATCTGAATTTTAATATACACTGCTGGAACACTCAGACAGAATGTAAATGCTTGTTTAGAATGGGAACAAAATGATCAGAGAAGCCTGGGTTGGGTATCCTTTCTACTTGAATCAGTCACAACATTTCCTAAAGAGTTCAGTGGGTGCAGAATGAAGCCCTTGGTTTTAGTATTTTGAGAGAAAATAAATTCAAATTAGCAGTCTGATTTTTAAATCATTGGGTAGCTATGTATATTTACACCGACTGTAATATGAATGTTGGCTATTCTTCCTCCACCCTTCCTGCGGGTCACGCTAGACAATTCTGCTTCTAATTGAAACACATTAAAAACAGGAGGGGGAAAGGCTATTTGCTGTTTTCCAAGAAGGAAGGATATATCATGGTAAACGAAGTAAGACATTCAGCACAGAACTCCTTCATACACCAAGAATCATGTTCTTGATTTATAACAAAAAGAAATGTTCAGCAGTATAACACTTCCATCTCATCTCCCTCATAAATCTGGTTATATATATGATCCTTCAGAACTAAACTATCCATCATAATTGCAAATCCACATTAAAGAAAAATGCTTTATATTTTTCATTTAGTTATCATACTAGACCTTGCATGCAGACAAACTGAGATTTTAAAGGTGACTCTGAATTATGAATTTCAAATGTCCTTTGTGGATACAGATAGAAGTATACTGCACTGAAGTGCTGAAAAATTATAAGCATTGCACTATTCCAAATACAGTATACAAATAAAAGCTCGTGGCAAAGGCCACAAGTTCACTTCTATTTGTCCATTACTAGATAGGCCAGTCGGCAATATGAGCTCTCACACAACTTTAACTTTGCAGATTTTGAAGGAAAACAAGCCCCCGCCCCTCCCTCAAAGGAAACCAAAAACTAGGTAAGGAGTTAAATATTAGGTTTGATATCTGTATCCGAATTTCCTGAACTGAGGTACTTGGTAGTGTTGCATTTCTGAAGCATATTCCCAATTTGCTTCCTTTCCATATTTCAAAAGGAGAAAATCAAAATTTCTATGTGCATGAATTCTAATTGGTTTGAAAGACAGTTTAGATCAAAGCAAAAATTAGGCCTAAAACCATTTTTAAATAAGGTATTCCTTCTTAATTTAATTAAGGGAGAAGAGCCGTACGCCAAGCCTTTAGAGCAATGAGTGAACATGTTCATAAGTATTACTGAGTAAATGATGTAATAAAAAGCAAAAAATACAAAAATGTTGACAAAGTATTTTTTGTAGTATTGTTATTTAGAGGGTCTTTTTCCCAACCTGTGTCATTTTTCCTAACTTTGGCTTTTGCTTGGAATTAAATGGCATTTTATGTCTCTTCCGTGGTAATTTTTCTTAAAAAGAGCTAGTTAGATGCGAGATAGGCGTGACTGTAGGGAACCAGGTCTCCTTTTCAGAGCTCCATTACCAGAACAACTATCCATTCGGTTACATTATCCTTGAGCAAGTTCCTCATTTCCCTGTGATTCATGTTTTGTGTTGGTAAATAAGGATAATGATGTTAACCTCCTTTGTAGAAGACTATCTAGAGAAGAATTGGACTTTATGAAACAGAATTATTATCATTCTTTCACGCCAAGTAATTGGTGTGCTGCCTTGGATAAAACTGACTTCATCTGCATGAGAACATGAATAAAGACTCAAACTTCTTCAATATTCAGCTCTTCCCAATCTCAACTTCAAAGCCCTCTATGGACCATTGAGATGTGAATATTATTAAGCATGCAGCCCAAGGAAAGAAGAGAAAAAAAGAAACCACCCTCAGCCCAAGTCAAAGCACTTTTCTAAGCCATTTTCATGTTCACTCTCACTTTATCCGAGGTTGACTCTTAGCCCAAGTGATCTTCAAAACAGGATTTAGCTGTCACTCTGCATAGGCTCAGAAGGAATACTGGTTTTCTCTGTCCCTTTAACACTAAAATTCTTCTTCTGACTTCTCAAATTCTTCTCCTTATGAACACTGAAATATCATAGCTCCTCTGCAATAATGCATACGAACCCTCTTGGGGTTTACCTAATCTGTATCAAAAAGGAGTGAGGCGATATTTCACCCTCTGCCTTTGTATTAGACCCCTATCAATTCCCTTCGTAAACTCCACTAGCGGAAGCCTGATTTTATATCTCAGCCGGCCACCAGCACATGCTGTCCAGCACTGCACAGAGGAGATTATCAAAAAAGCTGATGCATTTTTTAGTATATACGTGACAGTACATTTACTTAGCCTCACATCTTGGATATTTCTTCCTGAAGTGCATCCGAGAGATCATGCCAAGTCAGTGAAAAAGGTGAAACAGAAGTAATATTGTGAGGAGCTCTGCATGTTTGGCTTGAGAAAGCTGAGTAGCTAGTGAGTAACCATATGAAATAAGTTGATGGCATGAGTCCAAATCTTAGAGGACAGGTGTCTAATCATACAATTTAAACATACACACATGCAGAGTATTAATTGGCATCCAAGTCGGCAGTTTCACAAGGGAGGCCAAGAATTTAATCAACCATGGGAAATAAACTAACCTCATGCTTAGAAATTACTCCTACAGAACATGATTGAAATACAGTGTGTTAATAATAGGTAGTAGTGTTATATGTTGCATTTGTTCTACAACAAATAGCAGCTTTTGTCTCAACAATTTTCAGGCAAAGAAGAGCACAAGAAATTAGAAATGCACTTGGGGTTTGACAAACCCCTCTGCTGTTTGCCAGAAACTTCTTGGGCTTCTTCACCTTTGGAAATTTATTTTCCAAAAAGCTCAAATTCCTATCCCAGTCAGTGAAATGATTACTCAGTCCATGAAAATTAGGCTCTTGAGTATCCCACTACTTGCCATTCCCTGCTAAATGCAGATGACAGTACTTCTGTACTTCGTGGATGTTAAGGTAGATGAGAATGTGGATAATTGAGGCATCCAGGTGGTACTTTAATGGGAACAACATGAATCCCCTACATACATTCCAGCACATTTGAAACCATGATTAAATCACTATTATGAAAACAGATTTTGTGAAAATGTGAACTAGAATCTTATTTCAAAACATAACAAAACATTTTATGATATACAGAATAGCTTACTTCTGAATTTTCCCTAAATAATTGTGCAGGATAAATCTATGACACAGTGATAAGATTTTCATCCTGTGTGTTTTCCTTCCCAATTAATAATTGACTGTGACTTTTGACAGGCAGCTTGGCTAGTAATGGACTATTATGGAAAAGCTACTTCTGTGCCACAGGACTTCACTGGTGACAGTAACAGAAGCCATGTACAGAACAGTAAAAAGATGTTTTGGGAGCAGAACATACTGCTGAATAAAACTGGCAGGGAGTGAGTTGTATTTGTCAATGTGAATTATCTACTAAATACTTTTGGAGGCAAGTACAATGCTTTTGAAAACAAATATGATGTTGCGTCAAGATGTTCAGGTAATGTCTTGAAAAAAACAGTCCAAACTTCTGCCATGTTATCAATTGGTGTGTTTTCCTTCAATAATTTAGAAAGAATTGATTATAGAGCACCAGAACAACTGAAAACCTGAGAAGGCATTCCCTCAGATATTTCCTCTAGCCATTGTCCTTTTTTTTTTTTTTCTTTTTTTTTTTTTCTTTTCTTTCCCCATAAAATTAATCACCAAAAGATAACAGCAGGAGTGAGAAGATTTTATATCAAAACATCTTGTCATCACTGAGGTTAAGGGGCACGTTCTTTGCATCATGACAGCAGGATTCAGCTCAAAACTTACAGGAAAACTGTATTATACATATGTGGAAGATGAAAGCAATTTCTACAGAGATTTGTATTTAAATATCTATTTGGAACTAGCATTTAAAAAACCGTGCATGCAAATTATTCTCAAATCACAGCACCAATATATTAAATTGGAAGTTCTGTGTATTTGAGGTTTCAGTTCAAACTGTTAATTGTGAGTAGACCAAATCTAGTTGTCAGCTCTCATTACTTCGTATATAATCACCACTGAAGACATAGAAGTTCATAAATCACATCAGATTCTTAAATGACTTGAAATTATTTTCAAAGTATAGATTTTTCCCCTACTTTGATAAAATTGAAATGATGAAGATGAAGGATTTACCCAGCTAAGGGACTAATGCCAAGTTTGACAGTAGTTCCAGTGTTCATATCTGAGACAGACTACTTTTAAAATGGAGAGAAAGAATAAAGAGCAGAGGCACAACAATAACAGCGCTGAATGCATCTAAAAGAAAATAGCTTTCAGTTGATGTGCAACTATACGATTATATTCCCACCATCAGTCAAATCCAGCCCCTTCTGCAGATGTTTATTCTTCTCTCTCCTGTTTGGTTATTATGGTTCATTATGTTGAGGGACTAAGCTGATTGAAATGTTCATTGAGATGACTGCTGCAGTAAAATGCGTAAAAGAAAAAAAAATGGAATGCAGGGAGGGCAGGAGGAGAGGGAGCTTTTTATAACTCGGTAGCACTGATTGCTGCATCAGAAACAGTGCAAAAGAAAGGGCGGGGGGAGGCTAAATACATGGCTTTTTAAAACAACAATAAATCATACGCCATATATAGGCCAAAAATGAAAGAGGCTCTGTATTCAGATGTAAACTTCTGGCAAGACCTGGTTTGTTGTCAGGTTCCCAGACACAAAATAGACACTCTGTTCACTTAGCATGAAGCCCTGCAAGAAGCAGGGAGCTCCGGAGACTCTTGGCTCTTCTCGAGTCTCATTAGGTCTGCATATTAATGACTTGCAGCAATATAAAGGGGCCCTGTAGCAGCCTCCTCTTCCCCTGGTGCCTGGGTTTCCCATCGTTAAGGGCACAGTGGCTATAGCGGCAAGAAAACAGAGGACGTTAACAGAGAACGCGGGTGAGGCAGCACTGCTATGACAGTACTGAGTCCCTTGCCCTGGTATCTTCTAAGACGGGGGTCAGGGGAAAAAAATGCACCACTGGAGAGACTCTGGCAGTATTTTCTGTGATGCACTTGTAGGAAATCCTTACACATGATGGAGCACAGAAGAAACAAGGGGAAAGAAATCACTGTATTGAATCAAGACATACCAGACCTTTGGAAACTGTGGTAGGGAAGAAAGAACAAACAGTTGTGGCTAAAATGCCGTGCGAGGGTGAGAATGAATTCTAATGCACCAGCTCTAAACAAACGTCCCTTTCAGAAGAAAACTGACAGCATGAGAGCAAAGACAGCAAGCCGTACAGATGGGAATAACGCTGCAATCTATGTATTTTCGAGGTGATTCAAGTCATAGTCTTTTAAAGCACTTCTTTCCTTTGTCAGGACTGAAAGAAGTGTCCTTAAGAATACCTTAGCCTCATTAAGAGGGAGATCACTTTTGCTATATGGTGCCTCAATTTGAATTAAAAAAAAAATCCTCAAAAAATGCTAAGGTATTACACATTCAGAGCACCCAATGTGTTGCCACTATCGCCAGCAAAAATCCTCACAGTCTGGCTGTCATTCAATCACTGGGTTCATTCTTTCCCTTGGGAACTCCTCCTGCACTTCACACTGCCATGCCAGCTGAAGTGCCTACTAAACAAAATTGCCTCATGCTTTGAAATTCTGCAAATCTGTAACTGAAAAAAAAAAAAAAAGCACTATAAAATGTACCGATAACTTTGTTTTAATGTGCAGGAAGTTTTCTCCCAGCAAATAATGCAGAATAACATACCTCACCCCCCCACCCCAATTAATAAAATAAACTCTGCCCCGTGAATGAAAAGGGTTCAAAATTGTCTCCTTGCCCAGGTAACTGTAGTAGCAAGCTGACTTAAACCCAGCCTCCCATATGTTATGCTCACATTATTTATGCCACTCTTGTATTATATTCCTGTAAGTAACTGCTCTTTCTAGTCTCCCTACTTAAAGATCTACTATTTCCATTCTCTTATCAGACTTACCAGAGGATTGACCTCGATTAGTGGCATCATGATCACTGTCTCCTTGCTCACTGTCTCCATGACCACTGTCCTTAGAGCTTACTATGTCTGCTTCCTGGAATGCAGAACTAGACACAGAAACATCTTTACATTAGAATAAACATGAAAGAGGAGCTCATAAAACATTCTTCTGCCATCACATGGCCAAACACGGTGCTGCATTCACCCACTCCTGCCTGCTGCACTGCTTCTGCAGAAATGCTCTGGCCACCATAAACAAAACTGGCATTTTCAGACCTTGGTAGTCTAGCTGAAACGGCCAGTAAGCGTTATTACTCTGCCTGAATTTCATGTGATTGGTATAAATAATCTGGTGGCATTTACTTAAGCCGGATAGCTAACTTTTATCTCAGAAACACCAGTGTTTTCTGGAAGACCCTACAGAAGCATTCCTAAGTATTTAAAGCATGTTTTAGACTAATATAAAATAAGATTTTGTTCTTATTTCAGTTGGTTTTAAAACCAGTTCAGAAAAGCCATAATTCAAACTCAGTCATCAGTGTTTTATTTAATACATCTACATACATTCAATCTCCCACTGCTTTACTCCTATTTTACATCTGCAGCAAACACATTTCTGCACCCCAGTCAGACTTGCTAAAGCATGCATTAGGAAAGCAAGGCTAAGGAGCTCATACCTGTTTACTCGTCGGGGTCTGTCAACTAGATAACTGAGCTCAGCACGCTGATGTTTTGTCTGGGAAAAAGAAAATATTGGGAAATATTGTAACTCTTGATATTTCTGTAACCAGCATCAGAAAATACACCAGAGCAGCTCACCATATTCAGTGTAAATGGTAATGTTTAGCTACGAGCAGGCCTACACAATCTGTTTCTAGGATGTAAGGGGAAAAAAACCCAGCTCTTCTTCACACAGATGGGAAGGCACGAGGGGTTTTGTCCTGAGTTTTTGGGGATGAGATTCCGACACTTTTTCTCAGAGTGAACACTGTCAAACATCACAAGGACTTGCACAACAACCAACAGAACTACTTCCAGAGTTGTGTACTAGTTAGTCTGAGAAAAAAAAAAAAAAACTTACTGTAATCTAGTTTTTAGCCTGTTTTTAATTCCAGTGTATAAAAATAGGGGGAGACGGTACACCCTAAGGAAGAAAAGACATCGAGATAGCCTAGAATCCTTAGAAAGGCAACAGAAGAGAGTTTTACGGACGTTTTGAGGAAAGGTCAATCTTACAAGCCAGTATTAGAAATTTTACTGCAAAACTTAACGCTTTAGGAAATACCATTCCAACCGCCTTTGCCAGACTGGCCAGTATTCAGGTTTCAGTATTCATGCGAAGAGAGGATGTGTTGTTTTCATTAGCACACAGGCAGAGAGGTACTGAGAGCATGTATGAGCTAACCCAGTAGGAAATGATTAACAGGGGAGCATTATGGCATGGCATATGCTTTGATAAGAATTCTCTACGCACTAGATAACACAATATAGGCAACATGTTTAACAGGAGGGGACGTTAAGTCTCTGCATATAATTTCACGGAAACTCTTTCTTGACGCTTTCCTTTGCGAACTCAGCTTTGGGTTATAGAGAGCTGTTCAGATAAAAGAAAAGTCAATTAATAAACCCTAATTCGCAAATTAATTAAAGTTCCTGCTAACTGTAGCGATTGTCACAGTCCCAGAGGGGGGTTCCCCCAAAGCCTTACTCGCACATGCAAAGATTTCAGGAAGAAAAAAGACAAGAGTTTTACAATGTTGCTTCAGAAAACCCTGTGATTACGCCTCACGTCATTTCATTACTGTCAGCGGCAGCGACTCGGGGAAAAGCAGTAACACCTCCCCACACCCACCGCCCCTCCGCGATCCGCCTGCGGGTCACAGCTCAGGAGGAGCTCTGCGCCCCGATGCTGCCCGGCCGGGCACAGCTTCGGCCACCGGCACCGGGAGGACACGGCGGGGGGGACACGGGACACACACACACGCGTGGCTGTACCGGTGTCTGATCACTCGCGGCGGGCGAATGGATTAAAAGGGGAAACGAGGAGGATGGGGGAAGCAAGAAGTGTCTTCCCCGCCGGGAAAGGAGGGGCGGGAGCTCCAGGAGAGGGCGGAAAAGGGGCGCGGGGGCTCGGGGAAAGCCCGCGGCGCAGCGGAGGGGCACGACCGGCCCCCGGCGGTCCCCCACGGTCCCCAGCCGCCCCCCACCT